AGCAGCAGCAGCACGTCCATCTGCCGCCTTGGGACCTCAAGGATGGAGGTGTTGTGTTGTGCCCTCCAGCCTGGAAGAGTCACACCAGCAGGGACCCCCTTCAGCCTGACCAACATGTGCAAGACTTGGCACACAGTAGGTGGCTGGCAGATGTTTCAGAGTGAACAGAAGACACGGATTGGCTCTAATTCCTGTAGAGCAGAGGGTAGCTGGGGTCCTTTGGTTTTGTGCCTACATGCAGCCCCAATCTGCCCTCTTGCCTTCTCCCTTCTCCCCTGCCTCAGCCTAGGTCCTCGTCCTCCTTGCCCAGGTTGTAACCCTTCCCTCACCTTCTTGCCTACAGTCTTGCTTCATGGATCCTTCTTCCTCCTAATAGATGTATGTTTGGTGTGGCAGTGGCCTCAAACCGTCAGCAAACCCTTCACCAACCTAGCACAGGCCTTCCTCAGGCAAACCCAGTTCCCTGCTCCCCTCCTTCAGACAGATTCCTTTGGGCTTTTAGCCAGCTGAGTGAGAGGAGTCATCTTGGGTGACACATGCCTTTGGCATTTCATGTCTATATGTATCATTCTGGGGTCACAGACACATGCTGATTAATTGTTCTGAAAAGTCCGCTTGAGAGTCTGTTCATATAAAAACAAATGACTGGGTTTGGCATAGAATGGGTCTTCGGACAGAGGGCAATGTGTCTGATGCTCCCTTCCTTGGGCCTTGTGTCAATGAACATCATGGGCCTGGCCATGTCTGCATGTAACAAGAGGGACGTCCTCTCCATAGTACCATGTTGGCAGGATGCTCTTGATTTTGGAGACTGCAGAGCTGTGAACTAAAAAACTTCTGTTTATTAAACACCGCCCAGTCTGGGCTGCTCAGTGATACCAACAGAAAATGGAACGAAACAGCTATGAGGGAGTGAGCCGAACCCCAGAGTCCACCTCCCTCCTAGTCCCAGTTCCGAGCCTGAGCATCTCAGTCTGCTGTGTGGTTGGTGGCACCCCCAGAAAGCAGGACAAAGAGGAGCCGAGTGAACAGAACCTCGTGTGGGTGACTCTTAGGGAGAAACCTCAGCACACTAGCTCACAGCCATATCACCCTGCTCCCCTGCTCACCTGTAGTGTATCCCCAAAGGAGAGTTTGTGGATGATATGTGTCATGTCCGGGTTCTGTGGCTGGGCTGTGGCACTGTGCGTGGACACGTGGAAGTTGCCGGGGACCTAGAGGGAGAAAGGCAGGTTTCATTTATCTGGGTGGCTGTCCAAGGGGGTTGGCTCCGAGGGCTGTATGATCTCCACGGACTGGGACACAGGAGTAGGACATACATTGGGACTGGGACTCTGACTTGTAGCATTTCCAACTGTATGACTTTGAAGAAGACTGGTGCACTCGTAGAAGCTACGGGAAGAGGCATCAGGGACAACCCAGGACAAGAGTCCATGTGAGGTTTTCAGGTGGGCGATCAGTAGAGCCTGGACTCAAAACGACAGCTGTTCCCACCCACCTCTGTGGATTCAAGGTTTGCTGGCTCAGCAGTTGATGGGGGTGCACTCTGAACAAGCAAGTGACTTCCTCAAACTCTGAACCAAGCTCACGTCTACTTAAGTCGACCTCATCACCACAGACAGGGAATCGCTAGAGACTGACCTCAGTGGCCTTGACAGCCACTGAGATCCCCTCGGAGGACCTCAGAGTAGCTTCTATCCTGGTCCCCAGTGTCTGCTCACCCTTGCTTCTCCCTATACAGACCCTTCCCCAGGCTTCTAACAGTAAGCCTGTTCTTTTTTTTTTTTTAAGTAAATCTATTTATTTATTTACTTATTATGTATACAATATTCTATCTGTGTATGTGTCTGCAGGCCAGAAGAGGGCACCAAACCTCATTACAGATGGTTGTGAGCCACCATGTGGTTGCTGGGAATTGAACTCATGACCTTTAGAAGAGCAGGCAATGCTCTTAACCACTGAGTCATCTCTCCAGCCCAGTGAGCCTGTTCTTTAAGGTGGTTCGTTACATAAGAGTTCATGTGTGTGATCCTCACGGCGGCCATGAGCATCAAGGCAGGACCTCTAAGATGTGGGGCCCAGTTGCAGTGGTGATCCTTAGGCTGCTAAGCTCAGAAGGCTTCTCGTAGCACCTAGGTTGGGTTTTGAAAGAGCAAAGGTGGCCTGTTCTCTCTTGGGCTTCCTGTCCTACCACAGCATCCTTCCTTTAGGATCCTTTCTGTCACGTGTCCGTCACTGTGACATCCACTGAGAGGACTTCATCACAGGTCAACTGATGGGCTCCTGAGCCTAAGTTTTCACCCGCTGGGGCTGAATAAATATCATTTATTTATCCATTATTGCCTCAGTATTTCACTACAGCAATGCACAAACTGAGTGACCCAGTTGAGCCCAGGTGCTTCAGTGACGTGTCTGGTTACTGGTCACACACTCAGGCCTACCTCTATGCCTCATCAGTGCCACTCTCTCCTCTGCTCACCACCCCTCAGCCACCTCCCTATGGCACTGGGAACAGTGTCCTGTACAGCCCGCCCTGGGGCCTTTGTGTCTGCCACTTCTTCCTGGATGCTTGTCCATTGAGCTTCCCCACCTCCCTTAGCCCAGTGCTCAGGCTGAGGAGAGCCCCCAGCTCTGTTTCGGTTATATGTTCAGGAGGGCTTCCCAGGGGGAAGGACTCCCTTGCGCAGAGGCCCTAAAGCCTGCATTTCTCAGGAAGACAGGGAAAGGTCTCACAGCAGAGACAGCAGGAGCAAGCAGCAGGTACACCTGATAGAAAATCCTTGAACAGAACAGGGCAGCTGCAGGCAGAGAAAGCAGGGGATAAGAGGCCATTTAGCTAAAATCTCAACTGCCACACTGGAGAGACCCAGGGTCTTTCTTAGTCCAGCTGCCAGGGAGTGAGAAACATGGCTATTTCCTGGCATGTGACTGCCCACCAGGGAGCTTTTGTTAGTGCCCTGTTTCAGGCACTGGGCTGGGGACCTTCCGCTGTGACAGCCTGTCTTCAGCCTTAGCCAAAGCTCATATATCTTATGAGCCGTGGCTGAAGTGGGCAGTCTGGGGAGCCGGGGGTGGCCCAGGAAGGTCTCTAGAATGCGCGGAGCATAAGAGTGGCCTGCCTCAGAGGCACAGAAGCAGCAGTTCTCCACCCATGGCACTGGGGCTCTTGCCGATTGTCACTCTGTGCCTCAGTTTCCCCATCAGAAAGTGGGACGATGACCACAGAGGTTTTGTGAACGACAGAAGTGCACAGGCACGTGGGATGAATATGCTTCAGGACTCACAGCCTTGGGGCCCTGGAAGGGCGAGCAACAGGGGCGAGGGAAAGCCGAGGCTCCTGAGAACAATTTCACGCTTCCTTTCACAGTGTGAGTAACACCTGGGTTTATTTCCATCACAAAACCTGCACAGGGCTAGGGCCTAGCTCAGGAGAGATGTGGCTAGGTGCCTACGTCAGGAAGAGCACCTTGCCTCATATACACGAGGCCTTGGGATCCATTCCAGCACCAGGAAATAAAAAAGCCCTTTTACGTGATATCATCAGAACTCCTGAGACTGACAGTGTCCTGTCAGATTCTCTGGGCGGTGGGCCAGGCCAGGTGAGGCCCAGACAGACAGCCTTGGGTTTGGGGGTCTCTGCCCCCAGGGTTAAGAGCATGGAGAACGCTGGCTCCTGGAAATCTGCCACCCGCTGCCCGTTCTCCAGCCTGTGACTCAGTAACCCGCTCCACTCCACACCAAATCCATCACAGGGGTCTGAGTCACACAAGCACACTGAGCCGAAGAAACAGAAGACGACGCTTTTAGAACCTGTGACTTGGGCACCTACGTCACTGTCTCAGATGGATTTTAAAAATATATAGCTGGAGTCGGGCCCCCCTTCCCAGGGCAGCCACGATTAGCAGGGCTCCCGGGCAGGCTCGCCTGAGTTGATGGGGGCTGCCAGGGCACCTGCAGGTGAACTCTGGCATCTGGCTGTTGGTGGACTTGCTGATGGGTAGATAAAGAGGCCATGTCTACAGAGGGTCTATAAAGGGGACAAGCCTATGTCTAACAATGGGAGACCAGGGAGGGACAGCTGCTCTCCTTGTCCTCATGGCAGACTGTCACACTGGCCTTTTATTTATTTTATTTTTTGGGGGGAAAGGGAGGTTTTGAGATAGCGTTCCTCTGCGTAGCCCAGGTTGGCCTGAAACTCAGAGATCCCCTTGCCTCTGCCTCCTGAGTGCTGGTGGCATGCACCACCACCACTGCCTGGCTTACACTGACTGTCTTAATCACAGCTCCAGAGAACAAGACCCCAGAAAGGGAGAGTGGGCAGGGTCACGAGAGCCTATATTCTCCAAAGGGCTGGGTGGACAGTGGTCTAGGCTGTGCCCAAAGAACATGGCCGCTCTGGTCATAGCATGTATAATACAGATGTTAAAAGCAGTAGCCACAGGCAGAGCTCAGGGCCCAGTGGCCAGAGTGCCTGAGCTCAGACCTAGCTGTGGTTCCTCAAGTGCTACTTGACTCCTAGGCTTTAGTTAAGGGCCAGGTAAGAATCAATTGGACAGTGGCCACAGTACAAAGGCTGGTTAGTGCTTTCCCAGATGCCCTGGCCATCACGTTCTCTTTCGCTGGCTCAGAGAGGCCCAGTTTCTTACATGTCTGCCATTCATGTGCGGTGTCTGCCATTCATGTGCAGTGTACAAACACACTTACACTAAAGTGATGTCAAGCATAGGCTGACAAGGGCAGGGCAACAGCCTACTAATGGTAGGGGAGGAAAGGTTGCCCACGCCCGACCAGTCATATTGTGAAACATTTATACATCTGATTCGGTCATATGCAGTAGATAATAACCCTGCCTCCTTACAGATGAGGGAATCAGAGTTTGATACACTAAAACACCCAGTTTCCTTAGCCAGGACACCAGTCAGGCTTTTTTAAAACGAAGGTGGTTGGTCTGATTTGAGAGGCAAATTCTGATCCACCCGGAGCCAGCTGGGATCCATGACGCAGCTCACGCAAGGAAGCGGAGGACATGTCTGCCAAGAGGTAGGTAGTGTGACAACGGAGTTGTCAGGAGTGTACATGGTCGAATGCAGGTGACCACATGTCACAACTGGGAAGTGAGCACATGTGCACATGTGCCTGGGAATCTCCAACTACCACCAGCAGGCACCCCACAGCCCCACCACAGGGGGCTCACCCCTTCCCCAATGCAGCCCCTGCTTCATTGACTAGATATCAAAGTGATGTGGTTTCTGTCAAGGAGTTTCCTGTGTGTCGGCTGCTGTCATTCTCAGAGTGGCAGTGTGTGTACCACGCCTTGAAGTTTTTTACGGCTGTACTAGAAGGGGAACAGCAGCAGCTTCGGGTAACAAAGTCACGGGTATAACTAACGCTGCCTTGGTCTTTTTGGATTGTATTAACAGCCGTAGGAAATGCTAAATTAGCTTAGTAAAAAGAGAGATGGGACTTAATCTTTGGGGTATCTGCAGATAAATCTGTACTCTTTCAGGTTTCTGTGGACCCTGCGTTTATAACAAGGCTTTATACTCTACTCTCTTCTGGGAGGCCTTGTGGTTCTTAGAGCTTGGTGGCAGAAGTCCTGGGATTCAGGAGGTCAGATGTAGAACCTACAGTTCTGCCTCCCTCATACTCCCAAGGCAATACTGTTGGGAGTGCCCGCTCAGAGTGTCCCCAACCTAAACCTATGACTTCCCACATCACAGTTCAGTGCTGACGCTGACTCCCGCAGGAAGGCCTGTTGCCCAAAACTCTGTCCTTCAACCTCAGAAACATGTCTCCAAATTCTGGCTTAACATTTCCCTAGAGATACTCGCTGGGAATCAACCATATCAGAATCGAGGAACAGACTCCCAGCCCCTCCCACAGAACCCCTTTCCCAAGCGTTCTCAGCCGCAAAACAGCTGTGGAAGCAGGAACTTGGCAGGGTCTTTGGGGCCATGGGTGCTTTCTGTGCCACCCCCAGGTCACAGCTTCAGCTCTTGGCTTCCCCCACCCCCAGGTAGCCCACACCAAGGGAACTATCTACTGGGCTGACCGGCAGGTGTCGGGCAGTGGTGGATATGTCCTGGCTGTCTATCGCCACCTGCCCTGGCACCTCATCTGTTATATAATATAATATATTATATAACAATATAATAAGGTGCATGTTAACCAACCTGGAATGAACGGTGGGTGTTTACCCATTTACCCAACGTGAGCTTTGTGACATGGGTGACGATGCCACTGTGACATTATTGCCATCACAGCTATGAGCACAAACTGGGACTCGAAGGCAGGTCTTCTCGCCTCCCTCCATTTCCTCCACTCCAGCAAGGTGCAGACCCACCATCAGGGGCCTGAAATCCCAGGGAGTCCAAAGCCTACCCAGTCTCAGAGAGAATTATCAGGCAGTCGTGTGCTGATTCTCAGCTTGCCAGGGGTTCTGTTGGGGTCAAGTGGGTAGGGAGCAGGAAAAGGACCCAGGCAGTGTCTCCGTACCTTGTTGATGCTGAACTGGCCCTCGAAGCGGCAGCCTGCTCCATTGTTCAGCGGGATCTTCATGGAGTTGTCGATGTGGCCCACTTCATGCCTGCCCATCTCATCTTGGATGTCAAGCCCGACCACTGTGGAGGCCAAAGAGAGCAGTCACCCACCCTACCTAGAGCGGGGACCAGCCTATTTCTGCAGAAGCCCCAGTTAGCCTCCATAAACACAATTCCCAGGTAACCCAAGGCTACACAGAAAGGCAGCCAGCAGAGGAGAAAGCGGCTGCTTGGCTCAGAGAGAGCAGCATCCAAAATAGCCCCCACCCCAAGTCACAGCGTCCCTACCTCTGCCTGAGGCTAGCGATGAGGGAGGAAGAGCTAGGAGGAAGCAGGGGCTAGAACAGCCAAGGATGCAGGCCAAAGGAATGCTGTGGGGTAGGAGGTGCCACAGGGGTCTGCCACTCGGTCCGCCCCCTGGATCCTCACTGGGTCCTCACTGTGACAAGACTCAGGAACTCATTACCCTCAATGCCTCAGTTTATCTTTCTGAAATATGAGGTGCTAAAAATTGAACTTTCAACTGGGCGGTGGTGGCGCACGCCTTTAATTCCAACGCATGGGAGACAGAGGCAGGCGGATCTCTGGGAGGTCGAGACCAGTCTGGTCTACAGAGCGAGTTCCAGGACAGGCTCCAAAGCCACAGAGAAACTCTGTTCTTGAGAAAAAAAATGACCTTTTGGTGGAAGGGTATGTGGACCAGAGTTAACAGGCATAGCAGACACTCAGCACAGGGTCCGAGTGGCAGCACGTGCCGAGTGCTCCACCAGTGCCAGCACCTGACACTCTGGGGTACTCGGTGAACAGATTCAAGCATCTCTCTCTCTCTTTCTCTCTTATTCATACCTTCCTTTACTCAGTGTCTGTAGCTACCAAGTCCCAGCACCAGAGTAGCATCCTGGGAAGAGTCAGGCTATACCCTCCAGGTACATGAGGTTCTTTAGTCCACCCATGGGAGGTCTGTGGCCCCCAATGCCAGTCTTGACTCCAACATGGCTCTGTAGCCTCACTGTGGCTCAGCTTTGCACTCTAACAATGAACAGGCTTCTCTATTCTCTGACAAGGTCCCAGTGTGCACAGGGAGAGAGGCTTTTGTCCACTTTGGGGATGTAGCGAACTTCCTGGCAGGCACACCAAAGGAACAGAGAAAGAATAGATCTCTTAAAGTAAGCTATTTTAAAGACAACCAGGCATAGAGAGAAAATGGGAACAGCTGCGTTCCTCAGTGGGCGTAGGGGAAGTATTGCCAGCCAGTGTGGAAGGGCACGTGACATGGCCATCAGAGATGATGCCACTGGTCTGTCATGGAGAAAGCTAAAGAAACGCAAGCAATCCCTGCCTGACTCAACAGTTCCACTTGAAGCCAGCTTGCAGAGACACCCGTGCTCAGACATGTGCAAGAGGCCACTCTGGCCAGTCTTGGTGGAAACTGTGACAATTAGAAGCCACCCAAGTGCCTGTCAAAATGATGGTGGCTGATGGGTCAGGTCTCCTCCGTGGTGGGACACAGCAGGTAGAGAATGCACTAACTGGCGTGTGCAGAGAGGCTGGCCCTGGGTCCCCGGAAGGCAGGCTACCTAAGCTTCCTGTGACTCAGTTATCACAGGCTTGCTCTGGAGACCGGGAGACTCAAGACAGCACCTGCTAGCCTGGGCACGCTGCTGAAGAGTTTTACATAAGAATGCAGGACCTGAACATAACTGTGCGGAAGATGATGTTATAACTGTCCAGTCAACGTCAAGGGAAACTGAGGCACAAAGAGCTCACAACTGAGAAGCAACAGAGCCTTGCTCTGAGCCTGTCCCCAGGCAGTTGGCCAGAACACAGCTCTGATTCAGAACAGGCCTTGGTGGTAAAATCGCTGGTTATTATTTCACTAATAGTATAAGAATCTTAGGAAAAGCGTTTCTCTTTCTCTCTCTCTCTCTCTTTCTCTCTGTGCGTGCGTGCATGCGTGCGTGTGTGTGTGTGTGTGTGTGTGTGTGTGTGTGTGTGTGTGAATTTCACAAAAGTTCTACAACATCTAGAGTTCTAGCTATCTGAGAAGAAAACAAAGTAAGCAGGATACAATACCCTGGTACCGAGGTCTTGGGATGCTTAAATTTCCCCTGTAAAATGGAGGGCTGTTTGCATTCCTGGTCTGGCATCCTCTGGGTTACTCACACAGCCCAGTGCAATGCGAATGCCATGTACGTAGCTGCCATCCTTTGGACCAGTTCTTCTCAAAGGCCCATATGATGGAGGCATGAACTTTAGCCTCTGGTGCTTCAGAAGGTGGTACACCTTTAAGAGTAGGACCTAGTGGGATGTCCTTACTGTTACTAGGCTGTACCCCTGAAGGGGACAGTGAAATCACTGCCCTTTGCCTTTTCTTGTTTGCTTCTTCTTTGACTTGAGGGGAACGGTTCTGCCCACTACATGTTCTCAGCACACTATATGACAATGCTCCAGCCAAGCACAGACGACACATGCAACACCCGGTCCCTGCACACCTTTCTCTTCATACGCTGTGGTCTCTGGCACTTTACAATATGACACAGTGACTTCCTGCGTCACACTGTTTAGGAAATAACAACAAGGAGAAAAGTCTGTACGTTTTAGGGCAGATGCAATGTATTCCTTCTCTGAAAGCTTTCGTCCTGTGGCTGTCGAATCTGTGGTGTAGAACTGCACACACAGAGTGACTGTGTTAATAGATACACGCACTAAGAGGGAAGAGAGTCTTCCACTGTCAACACAGGCTGCTTAGGAGACAGTGACATACTTGGGGCAGCAAAAAGAAACACCGAATGGGTACTTTCCGATTTCTAAAAACGTAGCTGTATTTCCGTCTGTGCTAAAATTCTACCTCATGCTAAGTAAGCGCTCTACCACTACGCTACAGTTCTGTGTTTTGAAGGTGGACCTGTATTAGCTGCATAATGAACAGTAGTGACACCGTCACGACACCTTTACAGTGCTGGGAATGGAACCCGGGCCTCTCACGTGCCAGGTATGTGCCCTAACCCTCTCTGCCCCTGACGAAGAACATTGTTTTTGAAAGCAGGATATGAGAAGACACCTGTAGTATGGCCTCAGTCATGATTGAAATGCACAGAAGGAAAGGCAGCGGGACAGAATGATGTCAGAGTGTCCACAGACCGTCATCGGGTGGTGGAATTGTGGGCGATTTCCTCTGCTTCTCTGGGTTTTCCAATGATACCAAGATGAACATGCACTTTTGTGAGTCTTTTTGTGTGTGTGAGTGGTACCAGAACCCAGGGTCCCAAGTACGCTGGGCAAACCACTGAGCTGCACCCCTCCTTGAAGGTCTTTGAAAGAAAAGCCATTGTACTGGACTCTGGCGGGTTCAAGTCATAGCCCTGCAGAGCTGGCAGGACCCATGGAGGGGGCAGATCACAAAGACTGGCACGGGCAGCAGCCAGGGACGCCTGTCCTGCTCGAAGTCACACTGTCTGGATCTGGGACTGAGCCTAGAGTCACATCCCCCCAGCCCTTGCTCTGCTGGTCTAGTCCTCTGCCCTGACTAAGAATTTCCTTGCTTTACAGATACAGCCAGCCCCTAAAGGAGAGGCTGCCAGATAAATTATTTTTCTAAGAAGAGAGAAGAAAAAAAAATGAAAACACATAAATAAATAAAAGTGACCTATTTCAACAGGTCCCCTGGCCCTGGGCCCAATGTGGGCTCAAAGCTGTGATGTCACTCTCACCAAAAGCAGGAACAGAGCTGAATGTCTCCCTGTCTCGGTCTGGGCCCACCCAGTGTTCTGTCCTTGCGGGCTATGCTCCTGAGCCATGTCCTGTGATCGGAAGGGAGGGGTGGGGAGAGGCTGAAAAGGCTACATCAGGCTAGGACCTGGTGGGGCTGAGGGATGGCTAGACATCCCACCACCATCAGTATGCTAGGTACCATCTCACGGGAACTTCTCTTGCTAAAGGGGAAACTGAGATGATCACAGCCAAGGCTCGTCTGGTAAAATGAAACCAGGCTTTCATTGTGTTGTGTTTTATAGAAACGACTTCGTCTTAATTAAAACAGCAAACAGAAGAGGCCTGAAGTTAAGATGCCAGGAAACCCTCAGTGACGGTGTCCCACCGGCTTCTGCAGCTGTGAGCTGTGCAGCCTGGGGCTTGGGGTCAACTGGCATCTCACCTTAACTACTCAGGCGGCCATGTAACTTCCACAGGAACCATCCTGTGGCCATCAGCCACCGGTAGGGATAATAACAGCCCTGGTCCGCTGCTAACAGATGGGGCAGCTATGGTCTCATGCAGGACCAGCCTCAGACCGACCGCACCTCAGCTGCACACACATCTGACCTCATCCCCTTGGCTGGGCTGGTCCCATCCCTTTCTCCCTTATGGCTTCCTCCTCTCCTTGAGCCACATAAGATCTTAGGCTTAACAAACCAGAGAGACTTCCCCACCCTGTGCCACCAGCACCAATGTAGCTGCTCTACAGAGGTGTGTGAGATGTCTTTGATTCCAGAAAACCTCCAGGAACGGAATTATATTCAGCTCAAATTAATTAATTAAAAAAAAACAGTGGGGGCTGTCATAGTCCACGTGTGAGTTGCAGCTGGCGGCATGCACTTAGCTCGCCCCAGATGGCTCACTGTGTCTGCATACAGATCACCTGGGTGGCTAGCTGAAACAGAAGGCTATTTGTAATACTCACATTCACAGTGCAAATTGGGTAAACTGATGTTGAGACTGACGTCAATTTTGCCTCCGCTGTCCTTGTCTGGGTCATCGACGTAGAGCTCATTCACCCTGAAGGATAGACAAGTAGAGAAGCCCGGACTGAGACGGGAACACTAATCCTGCCCATAGGGGCTGGACAGCCAGGAGCCACCTCACTTGGTGGCCAGTACTCAGTGGTCCAGATACCCACGTGGGTACAGCAGCATACACGTGTCCAGGCCCCAATGAGGTTCAAATCCACCCTCCAACACAGCTTTACCAGGAAGAAGGAGGGGTCTGGTAAGAACATCTACATCTGTCCAGATTCAAGTTCAAATCCCGGCTCCAGCACTTCCTACAAGCCCCTCTAGAAACCCATCTGTCGAGTGGGGACAACACTGCTCCTTCCCGATGGGGTGGCTGAACCACAAAGTGAGAAACAGAGCCTCGCTATGGCTCAGGGCCTAGCACTAACGGTACACAGTGCCTACTGCCTGCTCTTGGGGGGGTCGCTGTCATCGAGTGTCATGAAGCCAGAGGCTTGGGCAAAGCTCACCACATCCTTACACAGCGGTTCCTCTCCTCTCCACCTCTTCCACCCTCACACAGGACCCCTGAGGTTTCATCCGGCCCAGCTGGCTAACCTAGTTGTTCCCATCTTAAGATCCTTCACGTGACCACAACCGTCATGTTCACTGTGGCACGGAGGGCGGCACAGCCATAGACTGCAGGAGTGAACAATGAGACTACTTCATTGCCAGAGTTACAGGGCCGGTGGCCCCTGACAGCCACACCACCTTGCAGTTAGCGACGGCAGCAACACACATGTATTCGACAGTTTGGGGGACATCTACTGCCCGTCGGGTTCTAGAAACAGTGTGAAGACATAGAGTCTCTGCGTTCATCAGACTCACCGGCAGAACTAGGCCTCGCTTACCTCCTAGATAAGGACACAAGGAGACCTGCAGGTCTCTAAGAGGAGGAGGAGGAGGCTGTGCTAAGGCCTGAAGCAGAGGGGGACTGGGCTGACAGACGGACTGAAAGAGGGTCACGACACATGCAGTGTGAGAACCCAGGTGTGGTGACGGGACACAGCTCAGGCAGGTGACTTGACACTGAGCACAGCCACGTGGTCAGGCTTGTGCCTCAGCAGGTTCGAGGCCTGGAGGAGCCACCATGTACCAAGGAGGCCAGAGAGTAGGCCACCGTGGTCCAGAAACCCTGGCTGCTGGGAGCAGGCAGGCGTGCTGGTGGACACACCTGGGGGATGGGCCAAGGGAGGCTCGTGAATGGATGGTTCCAGTTCTTCCTTTCCCCATTAAGTCAGGGGCCCTTGAACGTGCAGCAGAAGCAGTAAGGAGGAAGATGGGCTGTGTCTAGAGGCCAGCTGCCCAGCTAACTCCCTATGGGAAGGGGGAACCCCATCATTAGGCCTGGCCTCAAAGACCGCTCAACTGAGCAGTGCAGGAGAAGGTGGGGTGGGCTGCGCTACAGTTATGGGTGGGGACCAGGGATGCTGGTCAATAGATCGGAAGTCATAGGTGACAGGAGTCCTGCTGCTCTACTGTGCAGGCTTGGTGACTGCAGTAACAACACATTGAGGGGTTGGTTTTTTGTTTTTTTTTTTTTTTGAGACAGGGTTCCTCTGTGTAGCCCAGCGGCCTACCTTGCCCCTCTAGTGCTGGGATTAAAGGTGTGCACCACCACCTCCTGGCAAGAGAAGATTTTGAAATGTTCTCTCACAAAAGCATAAATGTTAGCACGTGGTGGTGGTGCACGTCTTTAATCCCAGCACTTGGGAGGGAGGCAGAGGCAGGCGGATCTCAGTGAGTTCGAGGCCAGTCTGGTCTACAGAGTGAGTTTCAGGACAGCCAACACTACTACAAAGAGAAACCCCGTCTCGAAAAACAAAAAACAAAACAACAAAAACAACAAAAGCATAAATGATTAAGGTAATGGGTGTACTAACTAGATGAACTGATCATTTGGCAATTTATCAAAATGTCACCTCATAGCCCATTTTGGCAATTAAAATAGGGATGAAGAGGTGGCTCAGTGGTTAACAGCTCTTAGGGTTCCAGGGACCCAAGTTTGGTTCCCACATGTTAGGCAGCTCACAATGCCTGATCACAATGCCAGCTCACAAGAGGGCGCTAATGCCCTCTTCTGACCTCTATAAGCACCTGCACTCACATGCACATACCCATATGCATGTATGTACGTGCACACACATGCATACATACACACACTTTAAAATGATAAAAATTCTTTTTTAAAAAAAGCCATAAAACAAACATTTGAAATAACCCACACAGTTAGATCCCTTGGGTCAGGTTGTACTATAAGAGGACTCCTAGGTAGCCATTCCTGTGAATAGCTGGCCATCTTGTTAGGGAAGAACAGACCAGGCCCAGCATGTGAATTCTGTTTTTACTAAGACCTCATCAAATGTGATACAGGCAGCGCTTAACTAACAAGAACTGTGGCTCAGGGACACAGCCACGGCCACTGAATACCCAGCTCATTTTGCTGGGCAGAAGAGAAGAGGGGGTACCCCTAATCAAGGAAGCCAAAGGGTGCATTCATGCCATCCTCTCTGCTCCCTGCAAAGTCCTCATTCCCACTTTAAAACCAAGGAACTGGGGCTCAGAGGACGCGCGGTTCAGCCCAAGAGCACACAGCAGAATGACTGAGCCAGAATCTCAGCCGAAGTCGGCCTCACGCCCAAGCCCCAAGTTTCCCAGGGCTACCCAGCTTCCTCTTCTTCTCCTCAGTCTCTGGGATCAAGGACAGGGCACGGGATGTGGGCAGCGACTTGGAGGCTTATCCAGGTAGTGCTCAAGGATCTGGCAAGGATTGTGCAGAACCAGTGGGCAAGGAGTGAAGAGGCCATGTGAGATTCAGTCAGAGGAGGATCCATCTCTGCCCGCTTTGTTCCTTCCCGACTCTTCAGCACCTGTTTCTACCACGGCCTCGATTCCAAAGGACTAGCAATCAGTCTAGTAAGAACACTACTGTGTGATTAACTGCACAGCGGCAGGGCACGGGCGTCCCCAGCGAGACACCTCCAGGAGCGCTCGCCTTTCCCACCTGGTAAGACCTAGACCTCTGTGCATCGCTGAGGGATTATGGGGTGAGGTCATTCCCTGGCAATCTTGGGAGATGACCTCAGCAGAGTGAGGCAAATCCCAGGTGTGGCTCAGGTGATCTCATTGCCCCTGGGGAGGCTTCTCCCAGACAGGGATCCCTGTCTCCTAGCCAGGAGAACTGGAGTGGTCAGCTGCCAGGGCTGAAGGGCCACGCAGGGGCTGAGATGCCTGAGGGGAGGATAAATGCATAGCCTGTGGCAATCTGGGCTGGTGGTTATGTAAGGCCGGAGCCAGCCACTTCCCCTAACTGTAGTATGTATATGGTTCAGTCGCTTGTACCGCCTACTGAGAGGTCAGCAAGGCTGCCTTCTGTGTCCAAGGCAAATGTTCCAGGCCAGCTAGTTTCCTGCCACCCCAGGTGCAGCCTCACCCACAGCCGCCAGTGCAGGGCTGCCAGGCTCTACAAATCAGCTCGCCTCAAAGAGAAGAAACGTTCTGTGGGTACACTACAGTTTAGGGACTCTAACTGGCCCAACACCCCACAACCAGTTCAGGACATGAGAAGGCCTGTGGGCTATCCTCGGGCCTCTGTCACTTTAGAAAGCTGAGAGACCCGGGACAGGGGGCTTCACTTCTCCAAGCCTCAATTTCCTCATCACAGTTACTGAGTAAGTCCCAGGTGAAGTTTAAAATAAGGAACTTAATCTATGACAACAGAAGTCTAAAGAATGGTGTTGGGGGGCAGGTGCAAAAGAACCTTCTAGATGGCAGAAATCTATCATGGCTCAACTAAGACGATGCCTACGAGGGTGAGATTCCCCGCCCCCACTTTTGGAT